ACCACCTGGCTAGTGGCCTCCAGGTAATTTGAGTTTAAGACCCCTGCTATGGAGAGAACTGTGCCGCTGCACCTTGACACTGAGCTACCTTGATTGCTCGGATCGGCCGTTTTTATGCTCTGTTTTGCCATTTTGCTGCCTTGCTTCTGCGCTCAAAGTTCAGTCAAATTAACCTTTGATCCAGTTCGCCACCGACTGTTGTGTATCACGTTTGATTGGCAAGACAATAAAAGTTTCATGAACCTGTATCATAGCATAGCAACAACAGCCAGAGCTTTTTTTTTTCTTTCAGACTGAGATACACAAATCTGCAGTGAAAGCGTACTGATTATAGGACTGTTCAGAGCCAGCATTGAGTAAAGCATGTGCCCAACTTCATGGAGAGTGAAGTGCAAAATCATTCGAAAGCACCCTAAGAGCATGAAGCACTGTAAAGAACCAAGAATCAATTTGAAAGACTCTCTAAAAGCTTAAGGAAGAAACTCTGAGAGGAACCAACACTCAAAGATGAGCCAATCTCTGCTCCGGATAGTGCGGTTATAGTACAAGTCGGACAAGTTTAAGTGAGATTAAACAGAGATACTTGGATATATCAGAGATCTGTGAGACAAGCCAGACCTTGAAAGTCTATCGAACACAAATGCTGCACCACAGATGCACACGAGGCGTAGGCCCGGAAAGCAGAAAGCAAACTTTTGCCGCTAAAAGGTTGCATGGTTGGCCAAAACACACACTAAAAGACACACAAACGCAAGCCCGTCCCCTCCATCCCGCCGTTCCGGCCGGGAAAACAGCAAGCACTTCCATTTCGAACGGAGTTGGCAGCGCAAGCGCTTTTCGGAATGTGGTCTGAGGGGAGCACGCAAACCACAGCGTTGCCTATCCAAAACAAACCAACACACATACACGGACACACATGGCAACTGCAGAGAATGCTCACTTTTGCAGGCCTGCCTGTCACATCGCCCAGAGCCCACTCTCACAGCGACGCAAAGTGGGAGCGATCTGAAGCAGATCAGATCTTTCAGCTCCGTCAGGCTCATGTCAAACCCCCCGCATGTTTCGGGACGTAGTCGTTCTCCTCAGCCTGAGATTAGACTTTACAAAAACCCGGCCCCAAAATAGCTCTCTTGTCAGGAGCACAGTTGAAGATTGCTATGGTCACTTTGCTCCTGACAGCATGAACAGCAACGGGACTGCCAGCTCTCTTTAAAGGGGAATTCCAGTCACTTTTCAAAAAAGAGATGCAAACAAAATCAGTCATAGTGGTTGGAAATGAAATGAGTCAGGCTTGTTCACAGTGGTGGTGATAGGAATCAGACGTCTGAAGCGTTTAATGCCTCTCACAGACAGTTATGACATGAACGGATACCATTTCATGCCTGAGATATTGTTTTATGATAGTTTTGGGATAACGTTTGGGCCTAAGACGTCGAGAGGTACATGCAGGCTGTTATAGGTCAAAATAGTACCACTATTTTGCCACTGACATTATATATACTAACATTCAAAAGGGGTCATTTTAATGATTGTTATCCAGCAATAATTTATATAGATTTATGATAAACTAGGCACTAAAATGTATGCTGATAGTTTAGTCGTAATAGTCTGTTGGGAACAATAAGAAATTATGACATGGTGCAAGAAATAGTCTATGTTATTTAACAATAAACTGTAATTAGCTATTTGTTGGTCATTTCTTGTCATGAAAATACTATGAACATCTATTGATCAGTGCGATTCTGTCACCACTTTTCAAATATCAGGCACATTTTAATGCTCACTTCCTGTATATTTGCTTAATTTAAATGTGGCTTGTGTAAAAGTTGTGGCATATTTTATATTTTATATTCTTTGCAATTTTAAATTGAGCAAATGGACAGTAATTGTGCATTAAAGCATATCATTTTACCAGGCATACCCAAACTTTTGCATTTTGCATTGAAGACTGTATATTAAAACAACCTGTTTCACTCTAAGGGATAAAGACAGGTTGGAAAAACGGTCACGTAAAATTGAATTACGACTATTTTTGATTCACTAAGCCCAACAAATGTCATGGGAGGACCTCAGGAGGCATAAAATAGAAGAAAAATGAAGGATATAGGCCTTTAAACGAGCCCACAAAAGCAAAAAATCATAACCTCAGAATGAGTACACTTTGTCCAATTATGACACTTTTTAAGATTAAAATGTGAACGACAGTAAAAACAGTTTACAACCACAAATCCAAGCCAGCTTCGTTTAGAGAAAGTGGCCCAGAATGGATTGCGGAATACAAAGAGGTCAGCTAACACCACCGCCGTCCATGACAATGCAGGCGCATCTGCGGTAAACAAACATGACTTACGGCCAGATTAGTGGCCCCATTCAAAGTCAATGCAATCTGACCGCAATCAACACTGGAGTAACGCCGCTATTCGGATGGCTGCATGTCATTGAGGTTTAGGGCTTGTAGTTTAGTTGGAATTCAGACCGTGAGCCATTGACAAACAGACAGACTGCATGACAAGTAGACCTCCCCAATGCTGTTTCCTCCGCTTATGTGGAGGCTATTTACTGCGTCTGCAGCTGTGTGGAGTTCCTCGCAATCTCACACACACACACACACACACACACAGTCTTCCAGAGCTCCTTTAGGAGCTTCACAATCACACAGTGCTCATGTACGAACGTATTCTCTGCACACAGCAATGATAAGGCCTCTCTCTCTCCCACTTGCTCTCTCGCTCCTGCTCTCTATCTCTCTCTCTTTTTCCTCTGTTCCTCTTTCTTGTTCTCTTTCTCTGGCTTTCTTTGACTATCTGCCTCTCTTTGTCTCAGTTTTTCTCCCTCTCCTTCGCTTCTGTAGCTGTCTATCACTTTCAGACTCTCACACAAACACACGGTGAGGTAGTGAAAAGCCCGAGCAGCCGCCCACTCTCCGAGTGCTGGGGGGAGGAAGTGACAGGGAGCTGTGGAATTCCCGCTGTGTATCTCACACTTAGCACGCACGTGTGTGAGGCTACTCCTTTCTCACACACACACACACACACACACACACACTCTTACAGTGACAAACACATTTTTGTTGTTATACAGTACCATATATATATATATATATATATATATATATGTGTGTGTGTGTGTGTGTGTGTGTGTGCATAGAATTGTGTAGATAGATAGATAGATAGGCAATATTACATTGGAACGAAATGTCGTTCTTCAGGCCCCATGGTGCAAGAAACAACAGCAGCACATTACACTAGAGTGCAGATACATGACATAAAATGAGTGCAGAATGTATGAGTATGTACCTATTACCCAATAATAATAATGCAATAATGCAATAATAATATATGCCATATTCATTATATATTACATTACTGTCAAGACACAATGTTCTATTTATCTAATAATAATGTGTACATATCTCACAACCTTGTATCTTGTTAAAAAACATATCCTGAACCTGATGCAATTAATTGACGTTTACATTCATTTAAAGTCATTTTGGACCATTTCTATTGGTCCATTCTTCATGTAAAGGCATATGACATATATATATATATATATATATATATATATATATATATATATAATGAAGGGCTTAGTATTAAAATGCATTATAGGCCACTTTTATAGGCCATCAGTACCTAAAATTGCACAATTGCACTAAAAAATTGCACATATGAGTTGTATTATATTGGACTGTTTTGCAATTGTCATGATTAACAGGTTGTGGTCACTGTGACAAAACACAAAACCTTGTACCACCAAGAAGGTCATTTTACATAAGAAGGAAAAAAATCTTAATGCAAGTTAATGTAGAAATTATTTATTCCAAGTAATTTTGGACCATTTTTATTGGTCCATTCATCATGAAATTTTGCCACAATGTAAGGGCAGTTGGCGATTTCAAATGATGCCAAAATATTAAAAATGACAAAAATGGAGATACAAGATTTTGACCTGACAGTGATGATAGATAGATTGCAATGCATTGTATTATGTTGTATCATATTGTGCCTTTCAGCCAGGATAAGCAGTGTGTGTGTGTGTGTGTGTGTGTGTGTATCATATTGTATTGCGTTGTATCGTGATTAGCACATTAGGTTGTGGCTGGTGTGTTCGCTTGGGCTAACGTATAGCTTTTGGCTAGACCGTTAGACTGGGAAGAGTGTAACTCCATTCATATTTCATTCATATAGTTCATATAGTGTACATTTACAATTCTGAATACTCTAATGAACTTAAAATGGAAACATTACAGCACATTTTTATTTTTATTTTTGTTGTATCAAAAATGTATAGTGAATCACATGTTCTTGTCCCATTTGTATTATATATATATATATATATAGCTGTTGTTGGAACAAAACCTCATATGTCCATTTTTGTCATTTTTCAGTTTTTGACAAAATTTGACAATGTCTGTTGCCCTTTACATTGTGTGTAAATTTCATGATGAATGGACTAAAAGAAACGACCCAAAATGACTTCGAAAAAAGTCTGGTTCCATTGACTTACATCTTAAGTAAAGGACAATTTTTCATTCTCCTGTAAAGTTATCATTTTGGAGATGTATAAACATAATCAATATGTATTTTCTATGCATAAATACCCATAGGCAACAATAATGTCTTATGTACATCTATCTATCTATCAATACACATATATGTCCCTATATGTGTATTGTAACTATGTAATAAGAATACACACACCACATACTCTCAGTGACACCAGCGCCCTCCGGAGTTCCCAGCATGTTCAATCGTAAAGCCACTGCCTGCAGTGTAACCTCATCACACTCCAGCTCGCTGTGAGTTCATCTACGTCGGCTGTAAATGAAATCCACTTTAAAGTGCGGACGGGCCGCTCACAGTACCAAGCACAAAGACTCTCGGTGATATATTGCACATACAGTATATCTCATTTATGGATTCCATAATCCCACATAAAGACGTACAGTGGTGATATGAAAACGGGGGCCATTAAGTGAAGGAGAACTCGTTTGAAAGATGATAGCGTACAATCCTGTAATTGCTCAGGAAAGCTCTGAAATCATCATTGCCCTGCAGGCACACTGCGCAGAGCACTTCCCCTCTTCAGCTTGCAGCCTGCTCCGCTTAATCATCAAGAGCTCTACGTCTGCTCGTGCCAAGCGTGTGCATGTGTGCACTGATTACTGTCTTTACATTAGCTTACTGCACGATGCAGCTTAAAGGAAGTGGGGTTCTCCTTTTAAGTCTTGGTTGTTCTCAGGGGTTCTTCCTTATTCTCTTAGAGATTTTGAGTCCTAGTTCTTCTCAGTGGTTCTTTTTCGTGCTCCTATGGAGGTTCTCCTTTTGAGTCTTGGTTCTTCACAATGTTTCTTCTTCATGCTCTTAGGAAGTTTTGCATTTTGAGTCCTGGTTCCACTTAGTGGTTCTTCTTCATACTCTTAGGAAGTTTGTTCTTTTGAGGTTTGGTGCCTCCTCATGCTCTTAGGGAGTTTCCCCTTTTGAGTCTTGGTTCTTCTCAGTGTTTCTTCTTCATGCTTTTATGGAGGTTCTCCTTTTGAGTCTTGGTTCCTCTCAGTGGTTCTTCCTCACGCTCTTATTGAGGTTCTCCTTTTGAGTCTTGGTTCTTCTTAATGTTTCTTCTTCATGCTCTTACGGAGGTTCTCCTTTTGAGTCTTGGCTCCTCTCAGCGGTTCCTTCTCATGCCGTTTTGAAGTTTTGCCTTTGAGTCCTGGTTCTTCTCAATGTTTCTTCTTCATGCTCTTACGGAGGTTCTCCTTTTGAGTCTTGGTTCCTCTCAGTGGTTTTTCCTCATGCTGTTTTGAAGGTTCTCCTTTTGAGTCTTGGTTCTTCTCAATGTTTCTTCTTCATGCTCTTACCGAGGTTCTCCTTTTGAGTCTTGGTTCCTCTCAGTGGTTCTTCCTCATGCTCTCATTGAGGTTGTCTTTTTGAGTCTTGCTTCTTCTCAGTGTTTCTTCTTCATGCACTTAGGAAGTTTTTTCCTTTTGAGTCTTGGTTCCTGTTAGTGGTTCTTCCTCATGCTCTTAGGAAGATGGTCCTTTTGAGTCTGGGTCCCTCTCAATGGTTCTTCTTCATTCCCTTGTTAAGTATTTCCTTTTAAGTCTTGGTTCTTCTATGTGTTTCTTCCTCATACTCTTACAGTGTTTCTTCTTCTGAGTCCTGGTTCTTCTCTATGGTTCTTCTTCATGTTGTTAGAGTGTCCCTCCTTTTGAGTCTTGGTTCCTCTCAGAGTTTCTTCTTCATGCTCTTACAGAGTTGCTTCTTTTTTTTTAGGTCTTGGTTTCTCTCAGTGATTCCTCCTAGTGTTTCTTCTTCATGCTCTTTGGGAGTTTTTCCTTTTGAGTCTTGGTGGCTCTCAGAGTTTCCTCCTCATGTTCTTACAGAGTTTCTTCTTTTGAGTCTTGCTGGCTCTCAGTGGTTCTTCTTCATGCTCTTAAGGATGTTGTAATTTTGAGTCTTGGTTCCTCTCTTTTTCTTCCTTATGCTCTTTTTCTTGCCTTATGCTTCCTCCTAGATTTTCCTGAAAACAAACAAACAAACAAAACCTCTGTGAAGCTGCTTTGGTGCAATGCCTTTTGTAAAAAGTCTGATACAAATAAAACTGAATTGAACCGAACTGTTGCAATAATAGAAAAACTTTTGCTTAATTATCTGTCCTCATGCATCATCCTCAACGTCCTATGAGTGTCTCACTCCCCAATTTCTGCAATTTACTTTCCGTTTCACTACTTTCTGAAAGAAATAAATCTACCTTTCGCTCTGCGCCGAAGCAGTGAACACTACAAATTTGTATGTGTCAGAATGTTCCGTCTGATTATCAATTGCGTTCTCCATTCGCAGGCTTGAATGCCAAGCAGGTCATTCAATAGTTTAGAGTAAATGAAGGTTAAATGTAAGAGGCTGCAACAAAACAAGCTCAGAAAATGTCTGCAATTTATTCGAGTTGTTTTGATAGTGAGGATTGTTTGCTATGCTTATTGCAGCACTTGAGACAAATAGCCAAACAGTATTGAAGTATTACATGGTTTTCTATCTGCTTGAACTGAACTAGACAAAGTAAAGCTGTTTATGAACTGGCCAGTGCATGAATTATGAATCACAGCAGTGTAGGAGATGTTAACTCATAAAGGTTGATAATTATTACTTTCATTTTGCTATGCTGATCAAATGAACACACTTCAAATTACTATATTGTACTATATGCTATACTATACACAGTGAATTACATTTACATTCAATTTACATTCTGTATCAACAGAGTCGAGTCTGCACTTTCAACTTTTTCTGTTTGTTTTGATGTCAAACAACAACAAAAAACATGGTACAAATGTAAAAGGATGGTTTTTCTTTCTGAAAAAATTAAGTTTATCAAATAATAAAATAAAAAATACGTTTTTATCAAATTCAAATCATAATGAACTACCACTAAGAAATAAATGGTTCCTCTGAGGTTCTTCCTCATGCTCTTGAGGCATTTTTCTTTTTGAAGGTTGGTTCTACTCAGTGGTTGTTCCTCAAGTTCTTAGAGAGCTTTTCCCTTTGACTCTTGGTTCCTCTCAGCATTTCTTCTTCATGTTCTTAGGTAGTTTCTCCTTTTGAGGTTCCTTTCAGTATTTCTTCTTCATTATCTTCAGGACTTTCTCAGTTTGAGTTTTGGTTCCTCTCAGTGTTTCTTCCTAACATTCTTAAGGACTTTCTCATTTTCAGGTCTGGTTATTCTCAGTGGTTCCTCCTCATCCTCTCAAGAAGCTTTTCCTTTTGACTTTTGGTTCCTCTCAGCATTTCTTCTTCATGTTCTTAGGTAGTTTCTCCTTTTGAGGTTCCTCTCAGAGTTTTCTCCTCAAGTTTTGGTTCCTCTCAGTGGTTCTTCCTCAAGCACATAGGGAGTCTTGTTTTCGAGGTCGGTTCCTCTTAGTATTACTTCTTCATCATCTTCATGACTTTCTCCTTTTGGTTCTTCTTACAGATAGTTTTGGTTCTTCTTAAATAGTTTCTTTTTTTGAGTGTTGCTTCATCTCAGTGTTTCTTCCTAATATTCTTAGGGGCTTTCTACTCTTGAAACTTGGTTCTTCTCAGTGGTTCCTACTCATTCTCTCATGAAGTTTCGCCTTTTGAGTCTTGGTTCCTCTCAGAGATTCGTCCTCATGCTCTTAGAGAGTTTCTCCTTTTGAGTCTTGGTTCTTCTTGGTGATTCCTCCTCATCTTCTCAAGAAGTTTTTGATTTCAGATCTTGGTTCTTCTCAGAGATTTATCCTCATGATGTTAGGTAGATTCTCCTTATGGGTCTTCATTCCTCTCAGTGTTTCTTCTTAACATCCTTAAGGACTTTTTCCTTTTGAGTTGTGGTTCTTCTCAGTGGTTCCTCCTCAAGGAAGAGGTTTTTCCTTTTGAGTCATGACTCCTTTCAGTGTTTCTTCCTAACATTCTTCAGGACCTTCTCCTTTTGAGTCTTGGTTCTTCTCAGTGGTTCTTTCTCATGTCAGGTAGTTTTTAGTTTCAAGTCTTGGTTCTTCTCGGAGTTTCCTCATACTCAAAGGAAGTTTCTCCTTGTGAGTCTTGGTTCCTCTTAGTGTATCTTCCTAACATTCTTAAGGACTTTTTACTTTTGAGTTGTGGTTCTTCTTAGTGGTTTATCCTCTTTCTCTCAAGAAGTTTCTTCTTTTGAGTATTGGGTCCTCTCGGCATTCTTCTTCATTATCTTCTGGACTTTCTTCTATTGAGACTTGGTTCCTCTCAATGTTTTTTCCTACCACTCTTCAGGACTTTCTCCTTTTGAGTCTTCATTTTTCTCAGTGTTTCTTCCTCGTACTCTCAAGCAGTTTCACCTTTTGAGTCTCGGTTCATGTCCTTATTTCTTCTTCTGCGAAACAAGTATGCACAACAATCTGTTTTAAAGTCAAATCGTTATGAACTATGAGTGAGAAATAATTAACGTACACTGACACCATGTTTTTGTTATCACCAGCAATAACTCTGACTGTGAATAACTGTGACAAATGTTCAAAAGTTTGATTTTGATGCTTAGCTGCTTTAAAACTAGACATTCTTACACATTCACTGAAGATGTTATCATTATACATTCTCTGTAGCTGGAATATATTCTGTCATTAGAGCAGGTTGAACAGTTCAGTAGATAGCTAACAGGCTAACAGACTCCTCCAATAACATTTAAAGACAAGCATTACTTTTTGGTCTACGTTGAAGGAGTCACTGTACAACATATACATTTGGAATGAACGTGATAAAATGTGAATATACAGTGGCGTGCAAAACAAATTAAAAGTTTGTTCTTTGTAGAGGACGTGTTAATTTATTTTCACTTGAGATGTCAATAAAAATGTCATCTGAAGGGAGGTTGTTCAAAACTGTATGCCACTGCTAGCTTGGCACTAGCATAACATGTTGTAGCATTAAGGTTGTGGTGTTAATCTGATAAAAAAAAGGCTGTTTACCAAACAAACTGCTTAGCTCATGGTTTGTCTATGGAATGCTCATGATTTTATGACTAATGCTACTGGATCTCAGTGTAAACAAAACTAAAGGAAAGAAAAACACTTAGTTACTGAGCAGCTGGTAAGAAGACACAGCATGAAGTCCTGTCTTACATTAAAACTTCACATTTTTACATCCTGAAAAAATAATTTTGTTTTTGTTTTATTTTTGGGGAGCCCTTGATACAAAAACCCCATAAACAGAGGTAAAACCCACTTACATCACTGAGTGTTTGTTATGATGGTGAGTTTCTCCTCTCGCTGCAGTATGTCTATATTAAAGCTGAGGAGACTGGCAGTCGAGGGTTGTGTGATAAGCGCAGGGACGTCTGTCTGCTGTCTGCGATGGAGCTCAAGTGCTCCCAGCATTCTCCGAGGGCCACCAGGGTCAGGATCGAGCTGTCATCCTTCCATCCACTAATGTCTTTTCCATCCGACATGAAGCAGACGATAGGGGAAAGTTAACCCTTAGAAGGCGCCGCTATCGCCGGCGTGTCGTAATTGTATGTTAATTATCTCTCACTCGTAGCTCATTTAAACACATTCTGTGAAAAGGGAAGACTCTAATCTTTCAGCTGATACTACATTTGCACTTGTAAATAGAAAAGGGGATATTTTATTACGGTTTGAATTCGTTTGCAGTCTTACTGAGCGTAAAATCCATTCTTTCAAGATCACATTTTTTTGGACTACTTTCATGAAATAACTGTTTATAGCATGGTGAATACACGCTAATGTCATATTGCTATAATGAGTGCAGTATCTGGGTTCTTTCTTTCAGTTTTGAAGAAGCTATTTCTGTAAACGTGGTTTAAATCTAGAAGTGGTGAAGCCTGTTTTTTTTCCACCAGTCACAACTCGCGAATAAGGAGCCGTAGTTGGAGTGTATATGCCTCAAACACAGTCCAAACACTGACACTGCAAATATTACAGGTTTTTCCACACTGTAGACCTATTTAATTCCTAATATCCCAGGCTTATTACACACTAAGGCTTATTACTCAGTAACTACAGGGACTTCAATACAAACTATCTGAGCTATTCTTAGGTAGAAGTGTGTAGTAAAGCTTTGGGCCAGCCAGTGGGCCCTGGCCATTTAAGAGGTTAATACACGGTACTAATGCAAAAGTCAGAGACCAGTTATTCATTTGCAGGAGATTTTTCAGAGAGATTAGATATAAGATAATCCACCGGCATAAGGAAGGGGAAAGTCAAAAGAAAATATGTGGAAAAACAGGAGCTTCCAAAATTGTTAAAGAAAACTGGGCTCCTAATAACCGTGCAAGACCTAGTAAACTACCCAAACTGTCCCTATCAGATAAACAGCACTCAAAGCTTTTAACTTTGAGAGAGAGGAGAAAATCTGTGAGAAGACAACTCAGTGCTATGGTCTGAAAGGATGTGTAGCTCTCAAGAAGCTCTTACTGAGAAAAGAACATCTGCAAATCGAAGAAAGTACTGGTGTTTTTAGAAGAATGGACTGACCACCCCACAGTCCAGGCCTCAAAATCACTGCATGTGTATATTTGGATTGTGAAAAATGTAACCAACTTGTAAGACTGAAGTTTGGTGGTGTGGAAAATGTCCGTGCAGATTTCATGGAAAGACTGAAAGCAAGTAATAAAGACAAATGTGGACACACTGAATACTGAAAAATGTGATATTAAATTAAATGTTGAGGCTTCCTTGTAATGTTCTGCTAAATATACAGTGGATTCCAAAAGTCTGGCACTAGCAAATGCTTTTGTTTTGCACTGCTTTCTAATTTGATACAGACTGTTCACTACAAGTTCTATTATCACCATGACAAATAGAGAAGTCTTAGAGAATCTTTGAAATTTTCATATGAATTTCAGAATTTCTTCAGATTGCAGGCGAATCAGACTCAAATCAGATCTTCTGAGATGACTGTACGCAGTGTTATTTGCAAGTAATCAGATGAGATTTGTGTGTCCAGACATCACCAACCGATCTGTATGGGTTACTTTCGTTGTACATGTAAAATACTTGTGTTAATGTGTTAAAACATGTTAAGATGCTAATTTTTAGTATTTGGATTTTGTTGCTGTTGAGAAACCTTTGTGAATCATGATGCTTTACCACCACCTACTGGTGTGGCGTTATTGCTGAAACAACACACAGAACCAACAGACCAAATGATAGAAAAAAATCAAGTTTTTAATTTATTTTAAAATATATTCTAAACAAAGTATTTTGGTAGAATTTTTATAAGCATAAATATGCTGCATTGTTGACTAGTTCAAAGTGTGAGCAAGTGTTGGGCAATCCCTAAAAGTACGATTGCAGTTCAAAAGAAAGTTACGCAAAGCCATTTTTCAAAACACGATTCCTCCGATTACACCTGGTTCACTCCCTGTAAAGTTTAAGTTTATTGGTTCCTCCTTAAAGGGGATGGATGTTACTCTTACGTCATTTCCCCTCTTTGATGAGGTCGGCTCAGCGTAGCCATAGCTAAGCACTCAGCTCACTATATCATGAATAATCCGAATGAAATGAAGGGGCTATGTACACATAGGCTTCAAGTTTCGCTTCAGTTGAAGAGATAAGACTCAAAAATATCTGGCCTTTATATACAACGGCCTCAAGATGGTCACAAATTGGCTTCAGTTTAAATAGTGACCTAAAATAGTGCAGAATCTTGAATGTTTCTCTACTTCATCACTTTACTCGTCATAACATTTCTTTCTTCAAACTATCCGTTGTTCATTTCCTGGTTTAAATGATAAAAAACAGATTTTCAAAGCGGTCTCACACTTTAGGACCCCACTGTGTGTTTTTGTTTCTGTAAATAAAGCAAACCAAGAGCGGTCTCTGATTTTCGCATACTATGCCGATACTCCATCCATTAAAACATGCCCGAACTGACCTCTATCGGAACATCCTTAGCTTACATTATTGGTTCACGCAAAACACACACGCAATTACAAACACTCTCGCTCATTTATTTCCATATTTGAATTTACAGGGAAGCAATCTTAGCAAATGGATTGAAGCATGTACTCATAGTAAATGCACACGCACGCACAGAGTCAGCGTGCAATTCATCACAGTGATAATTTATCGCCTGCAAGTCCAATTAATTCCATCACCACCCTTGCTGAAACCCCCGGGAGGACACGCACTCACACTACACACACGCGCGCCTGCGATGTTGCTACCGTAGAGTAGCTTGTACAAACACATTTGGCCGGCGCTGTCTGCCTGCGCAACGGAAAACAAACACACACACACACACGCAGCGGCCCACAGGAGCCTCGGCCAGAGTGGCACAATAAATCAAAGTGCCAGGCAGGGGACGGCAGGAGCTCACACACACAGTGGGTAGAGGAGCCTTTGTGTGGCGGCGTGGGGAGCGGTGGGGGAAGAGCGCAGATAACAGATGGATTTATGACAGGGATTAGGCAGGGATTAGGGCACCTCGAACTGCCATGATAGCGCAGTTTATCGTGTCACCTTTAGCTCTGTCACTGACATGCGCCGCTAAAGAGACAGCCAGGGAGAGAGAAGGAGCCAAAGCTTTCATTTCAATCCCTCCACTGCTTCCTCCAATATACCTCTTATCTCTCTCTCTCTCTCTCTCTCTCTCTCCGTGCAACTCTAAAGGCTGATTTATTCTCACACGCCAACCTATTTGCATGAAGATGCAGAGAAGCCTTCAAAATCTCAGCAAATCTTGCACCATCAGGTACACAATGTGGCCCAAAGTATGTGGACACCCCTTTCTTTTTTTTGGGTTTAGGTAGTCCAGGTGCATAAAATCAAACACAGCCATGCAATCTCCATAGACAAACACCGGCAGTAGAATGGGTCATACTGAAGAGCTCAGTGATTTTAAATGTAAATTCTGTTATAGGATGCCACAAGTCAGTTTCTGGCTGGCTAGATCTGCCCTAGACAACTGTAAGTGCTACTGATGTGAAATAGAAGCATCTATGAGCAACAACTGCTCAGCCACGAAGTGGCAGAAATGCGTGCATAAAAAAATGCCTGTCTTCTGCTGAATCGCTCACTACAGAGTTCCAAACTGCCTCTGGAAGCAACATCAGCACAAGAACTGTGTACTGGGAGCTTCATGAAATGGGTTTCTATGGCTGAGCAGCTGCACACAGGTCTAAGATCACTATGCTCAATGCGAAGTGTTGGCTGGAGTGGTGTAAAGCAGGGACTACAACTACAGTGACTAAAGCTTTATTACAGGTGGGTCACAAAGCACCCTCTGGTGGTCCCTGGACCAATATTAAGGAGTGGTCTGTAGTGGTCCATTAATGGCACTTTGTAATAAAAATCAATTCAAAATAATTGACTCAATAATACACTGCCAAAAATATCTTAGCAAGTGAAAACATTGTAAAAATATTAACTGTAACTGATATTCTCATTACAAGATTGTTGTAAGAATAATGTAAGATTATTCCCCCCATTTCTATACATTTTTACTTGTTTTAAGTCATTTTTTTCTATTTCACTGGAAGATCATTTTATTTGTTTTGAGAAATAATGCTTAAAACAAATAAAATGATCTGCTAATGAATTGTACACATTTTTACGTTGCCCCCCGGTAATACCATATATCACGGTATTTTGGAGACACTTTGAAAGTATGAAACAAGTGGAAACCTCCCTATTTTAAATTCACAAAGAAGTAAAATTTAATTGACCCACCTGATGATTTAACAGTTAATTCAATATTGTGTAGTGAAATCACAGTTTTAATATGTGAATAGTAACATACACTGTAACTGATATGTATTGTTTGGAATTTTTATGTGAAATACTCATTTTGTAATATGGTGTGGCCAGTAAAGCAGACCATTTTTAAGATTTTTGACCATTTTTACTCCGATCATATTTGATAAATAAAGCAGATATGGGCTCTATGTGTGAGCAAAGGCCAAGTAAAGCCATCATTCTTTTCAGTGCCTTCTCCTCTAAACTCATCCACTTCAGCCTCACTGGCTTCATTAGCACCAGGATATATCACAAAACTACACCATGACTGTAAACAACTGCCGTAATTTAGCAGTAATGTACGTTACTATTTAAGCAACATACTGATTTCTTAAATTTGGCTGTGAATTTTGGAAGCTGATGTCCAATCCTCAAGAGGAATTCCACCCCACAATTCAATTGTTGAGATGTAAACTGATGTAAAATTTTTGTAGAGAAACTTTCTGACTCCTGATTTCTTTAAAGTGGCTCTGATAGGAACCAGGGGTTGAATGTCTACAATATGACTATAGCCATTTTATTTACTATCCAAAACCACCAGTGCCTTCTGAGTGTCTATATGGATTGTTGATAATGATAAAATGCTGATAAATCTGACACAAGGTTTGTTTTACAATGCCCTACATGAATCACTCCAC